AATTGGAGGTGTGTAGGAGGGAGAATAGTTACTCTACTTTATTAGGTCAGAGTTTTTAATCGTTATTTCTTTTTCTCAGTTTGACCACCAAAATAAATATCAGGAAATGAAGGCTAGTGAAAATAAAAGTAATAATCTCTGGATGCATAGTGGAAGAAGCTTTCAGGTGCTTTCCAAAATGCTCAAAATGTGTGTTTTGTACATGCAAAACGTGCCAAAACTACCATCTATATCTGTATATAGGTCAACCTCATATATGTTGAGGGCAGGTTTGAGGCACATGGAAGTCCTGAACTGTCATGAGTTATATGGAAACTAACAAATTGAGTTTTAATCTAGTCAATCATGAGGTACTCCTGGTTGTAGAGTTTGTGGGTAGGTTGCTTCTTATTTGGGGTTTCAGATTATTCATGATGTGATAGCTGCCCCTTGAAAGGTACGGTTCACAGTTCACATGCACTTTTGAGTCTGTCTATGCTGTACCATGATTGAATGGTGGCCATGAACAGGGGGGTTTTTGCCATTGAAATTTCAGAAGCTTCACTTGGTCCTAAATGCAACAGCTAGCATTCACACAAAGTCATGCATGAACACAGTAAGTAGTATTGATTTCATGTGTGTGCGCGTGCACATGCATGAACACACAGGCAGTTTATAGTACTGGCTGTTACCTGTAAAACTCTATGTAACTTAGACCCAGGGTATTTGAAAGGCTGCTACCTTGCACACTAAGATCTCATGGGAAAGCTCTGGCCTTTTTGGTGTGTGTGTCAATACTACTTTGTTCTGGATTCAAGAAGAGCCATTTCTCCTTCACTCATGAAGGAGGTTTGTTTGGCTCCCTTGCTTTACTTTCTACCATCAAGTGAAAGCAATCTTGTTGTGAGATGTTCATTAGCTTAATCCTTCAGGCTAACTGAATGTTTCATGTTTCCTGTAACATTATTTCTGTGTAATGATGGTTGTATTTTTTGGATATTAGTGGCCTTGAGTGCTTCTCTGGCAAATAAAAAATAGGATATAAATCAATCAGTTTTTCCTTGTCAGGGCTGAATGAATTTTATTATATGGCCACAGACCAGGAGTTAAAAATCTGAGGTTTTTAAAAACATAAAAATCAGAAGTTCAAAACATTAAAAGCTGAAAGTCCAGGATATGCAACCATCCTAATCAGCTTCATACATGACACTTAATTAAAATCTGGATGTCAATATTAAAATTAATACCGTAGTTTAAACATCTATTTTGGACATAAGAGCAAAAGAAACTAGAACTTCGATCCGTACAACTATGCAGCCTGTGATTATGTCTGTTGTGCTTAATGTAAGACACCAAGATTAGATTTTTGGAGCATCAAGAATTAAGACTGTCAATAGAACACAGCAAGTCTGCATATCAACCACTGAAATAGATTGTCAAATGTCACTAGACTAGAAGGATATCAAAATTTTAGAAGTGGGTATAGAAGCCCAGATGAGAAGGAAAGCTGCTGTAAGGGGGCATCCCCATGTAACTGAAGACAAACTTCCTTCTATTAATTGTGCAGTGTCTGTAAAAGCCCCTTGAGAAAGAGTGTGCCACCAAAAGAGACTCCATCTATTATTTTTATCTTGGAACATAGCAGGGTGGTCAAAGAAGGCATTAGATTCTACCTTTATAGGATTCATTAAAATATGAGATCATAATTCTCCAAGAGACCTGGGCTACAATTAACATAGTTGTTAATGGATTTGATGCCTCTGGGGAAGTACTTATTAATGAGTTCAAGCATTTGGTTCTTTTTTGGACAGCTTTCTTTTTGTCATATGGAATTATCACGAGCAGTTCATTTTGTTGTAGCTCATAAAGATCATAGATTTTTTTCCCCTCTCTGTTGTGAAGAAAAACTTTCTTCCACTTCTCTTGTCAGAATTAATGGAGTGACATTTGACAGAACTTTAAAAACATTTTCTTGTACTATTCCTCAAAATAAAGCTGCTTCTTTTCTCTTTTTTTGGATGAAGCAGTGAAAATGCAATGTCTGCAACCAAATCTTAAGAATCCCTATCTTTTAAAAATGTAAAAACATCTTTAATTGGTTCTCATTTCACAATAATTTTTAAGTTCATTCAAAAAGTGTAGTTTTCTACAAGAGGCAATAAAAGCTTGCAAACCTTGGTAAGATACTTTTTAAAGGTAATGGTCCATTTGATAACAGGTATGTTGCTGAATTTTAGTCACTGTAATGCAAATGAAAATTGCCTCCAGAAGTAAAAGTGGTCATCACTTTTTCTAACCAAAAACTAGGAAATTGGCATTGGTGAGCAGACAGTGTCCATTTAGTGTTTACTAATATTACTACAGCAAGTTTCTCTGGAAACGCTTCTTTGAGTCCTCTCCATTCAGAGCTCATTCTTATGCATAGAAGGCACTGATTTCAATGGGAAAGGAATATAACATAAGGTTGTGTAATTCCCCTTAAGGAAAGTGTACTCAGGGAAAAAACATACTCTCCTTTAGTTGTTGGTTCAGTGGCTCCTAATAGACATTATTAATGCAAAAAATAGAGTAGTTGCCGTTTTGTCGGTCTTACAGAGATCTGGATAGGGAGTATAGTGCAATTAGAATATGCCTAGAGCTGGACTGTAAAGGGAATTTTACTAAGCACTCTTAATACACATATGTATGTTTCTGGTATTTTATAAATCTTAGTTTTTAAAAGATATTTTAAAAATAAAAAATGATTGTTTTCTATATTGATCTCCTCTAACCCAGCAGGCGAGACTTTGGTTGCAGACATTTATATGTGCTACTAGTATAAGATTAGCATTTCTTAAATAAGCTTCTATCAAATCTAGCTTGCATGCTGACCTCCAAGGCCATTGGTGCAATGGTCCATCTGTTAGGTCTGAATAGTGCTTGAGGGAAAGCAGTCCTAGCCAGTCTCTTTAGGAGGGCAGTTTTTACAGGAGAACAACAATATGGCAAGTTGCTAAGGGTTCATGTACGTTTTGTTCCATAATGTTTTATTGAACTTTCCTAGCAGCATTTAGTTAACAGTGTCTACAGTTGAGTTTCTGTACACATTCCTGGCTTGGCCCTTTTAATTTTAATGAAGCTCCTACCAGTGAATTTTTTATATAGCAGGGCTATTCATTAAATTTACCAAAAGGGAGTATTAGAAATAATAATGAAACCCACTCTCAAGGAGAAGTGAACTACAGTCTGGAGATGTATGTTTGTTTTACTGATGTGAAATCCCATTAAAAGTCACAATAATAGACAATAATTGACAAATATTACTGCTCCTTTTCTTTTAGGAGCCATTCCTTTATATAAATGGATAGAAATTAAAAACTAATCAAATATGAGAGAGCACAACATTGATAGGTTTAACCACCCTATTCAGTGTCTTCAGAGACCCCAGGAAAGGCTGACTTTGAATCCACTGTTTTCAGTAGTGTTTACAATGCTAGATTAAGTTGCCTCCTCTTCTCCCCCCCCCCCCCCCATGACATACTTCCATAAACTGCAACTACTTGATTTGTGTGCAGTATAAAACATTAAATTGAATTTGGAAGTCCCTGCCGGGAGGTTTGCAATATTGAATTGGAACACCAAAGAAGAGACTTTAGTCCTTGGGCAGTTTACATAGTATATAAATTTATAATCTTCATGCTTCATGTAAAGATTCTTCAAATGGTTTGAGTAGCTCATCTTCTTATACCAGTGAGATGCCGTCAGTCAAAGTAAACAGTACTAACTCATGTGGGCCATTCATTGCTTTATTAAATGGTTCAAATCCAGTGTCGCACTACAGCAGCAGCACAATTGAATTGGTGTAGAAGTAAAATTAATCTTAGAAATTGAGATTAGTTGGCCCCTTCCCTAGCACGCCTTACCTCTTCTCTTCATGTGTATATAATCTCATAGTTTTTAATTCTAAGTCATGTCCCTGTACATGTAATGTCATATAGCATGGAAAACTGGAAAGAAAAGGAGAGTACGTAAACACACAGCTTACTCTCAGTTTCTTCAGCAGCCTTTCCCTTGCTGTTGACTTCCTTAACCAGTATGACCAATGACTTTGCTATTCCCCATATGATACAGAATGATGGGAGTTGTAACCTAATACACCTGGGGGACATCTCCTTTCAGAAGTGCTTTAAAATCACCATCAGTAGATAGTAGCATTATATTTCACAAGGCCCTAAATGTGAGTGGTTTTTATAGGCATCACTTCCATGTAAGAAAACAGCTCTCTTGTGAGTTCACAAGCATGTTTTTTGGTTTCTAAAAATGGTAATTTTATAAAAGCAAAAATTGAACAGAATACAGCATAAAGTTTCTGTGATGTGAAATTGTCAAGTCACTATACATTTAGTTACTGAAATTAGAGGTTTAAAAAGTAGCCACTGAAGGGCTAGGCCAAAGAATCCAGGCAATAACAGGCCATTTTCTTAGCAAGTATTGCAAGTAATTTAGTGAAAAGCATTAAGAAATTAAAATTAACAATCTTGCCAGAATGACCATTGCTGGAGAAATACAAACCTAGCTCAGGAAATTTGCCTGAGTAAGCTTTGTTGTTTTGAAATAAGTGTGCCAATCATTTTGTGGATTAGGAATGGTTAAATGACATGAACCATGCGCAGAAGAGGAGTAAAAACAAAAAGGAAAATCTTTTTAGTCACATCGAAAGTTGTCCTACTCTTTTGTCTGAGTCCTGTGTAAAAAAAATATTTTATTTTCAAAATGATAACAACTGGCTTGCAGGCACAAATTCTTTCAGTCATTTTGGCCTATTTTGAGTCAGAACCAAAATTCAAACTTGCTACATGTACATATTAATAACATTTGCTAATTTGCAGCAAATGTTGGAATATTGGGCATCATCAGTTGAAAATGGTGGCGATGCCCAATATACTGACAATATACTTTTGCTTGAAATTGATGCCTTTGCTGAAAAGAAAAGAATGCTGCTCGATAATTAATTAATTATTTCCCTTTAACCTTTCTTGTAGCATAAGCAGTACCATAATGGATGTAGACAGTACAATTTCCAGTGGACGTTCGACTCCAGTTATGATGAATGGACAAGGAGTTACTGCTTCATCAGCAAAAAGTATTGCCTATAATTGCTGCTGGGACCAGTGCCATGCTTGCTTCAACTCCAGCCCAGATCTCGCAGATCATATTCGCGCCATACATGTAGATGGACAACGAGGAGGGGTTTGTTTGTTTCCTTATTGCTCTTCTGTGATGTCTATATTTTGTGTCTTGAAAATGAATTATTGTTGCTGCGACACTAAATGCCAAAATCTTTACTGAGAACTGCCACATTCTAATGTGTGTTTGTCAGTCTGTCTATGTTTTTGAAATACTGTATATACTCGAGTATAAGCCTAGTTTTTCATCCCCTTTTTTAGGCTGAAAAAAATCCCCTCGTCTTATACTCGAGTCAAGGTTATTTATTATTTTACTCTGCTATTAGTATTATTTTTATTACATTGATTATTTTACTGTATTACTATTAAATTTACATTATTTTATTCTATTATTACTTTTATTACATTGATTATTTTACTCTATTATTACGTTTACATTATTTTACTGTATTATTATAGTTATTGCATGTATTATTTTACTCTATTATTATTACATTTATTGCTTTATTATTACTATTATTATTAAATTTTCATTATTTACTCTATTAGTATTTTTATTACATGTTACTATATTTATTATTTTATTCTATCATTATAGGTAATAGGTAAGCACATTTACATTGGAGGAGGTTAGAATAATGGTTGACTCAGTTGGGCAGTCTTATCTTAAATTACAGTTTTGTGTAAATACTCAAATACATTTAACCTACTGACGATTACCAGTAGCAGCTACATTTCTCACCCTCGGCTTATACTTGAGTCAATACATTTTTCCAGTTTTTTGTGGTAAAATTTGGTCCCTCGGCTTATATTCGGGTCGGCTTATACTCGAGTATATACGGTAATTAAAATAGTTGAAATATATTCAGGACACGGGTGAGAATTGTGCCATACCAGATTGTTTCAGGGAGTTCCTCACCCCAAAACATAAAAAGCCTACTCCAAACTAACCCAGGAGGCAACTGGAAGTTATAGATTATCACTACTATTCACCCTAAATAGCATCTGAAATGATGCCATCCTCTGGCACTCTAGTGAAGCCTGAACATGGAATTTCATTGTGTCCAATTTCGTCAAAATAAGTTTTAAGTTTGACTTGTACAAATGATAGAGGTTGGTAAATAGTGATAACCTGCCACTGTCTGTGTTCAGTTAAATAGGCATGGTTACAGAGTTGTTTAGATGCTGCATGGAAATAATTAGTTGGAAGGAGGTGATTCCAAGGCATTTTGAAAAGTAGTCCCAGAAACAGTGGGCGATGAGGGAGAAAGAACAGAGACTTAAGGTTGGTGAACTGGACAGGCAAAAATCACAGATGTCAGGACATAAGAATAGGACTAAATGCAGGGAGGGATGTGGAGAGTTTGAAGATAAGAATAAAAAAACTTTAGAGGACTCAGTAACAGAAAGTGACTATTTAAAATGGTATGACAAAATAGCCACACATTCTCAAAGATATTTGAACTGTTTGTCCCATTGTAATATATATGTGGATATGGGTTTTTTAGTGAGTATGCAATCAAACTCTAATGTTTTGACTTTTTGATTATTTATTTATTTATTTATTTGCTTCATTTATATACTGCTTTTCTCAGCCCTTAGGCGACTCAAAGCGGTTAACAACAGCAATTTCAGTGCACACATTACAAAACAATTTAAAGCATTTAAAAACAATAGCATAACAACAATTAAATATCAATATAACAAATCATTCACATCTCATCAATAGAATCAGAATCCAATCTCATCATCCGTTAATCACAGAACTGTTTTCATCATTCTATGTAACAAACATTAGTTTGCATTCTCATATCATGGGTTTGTTTTTTTAGTATAAGATCCTTGTCAACATAAAACTTTGAGTGAATGAATTTCCTTTAGAACGCAAAAGGAGAAAAAAAACTGAATAAAACTTGCCAAGAAAACTCCATAATAAGTTTGACTTAGGGTGGCCTTAAGTAAGAAACGACTTGAAATTACATAACAACAACCATTTGTTATGTTAATTCAGTTTCTTTGGAGAATTAAACTGAATGGTATTTAAGATAGGTCAGTGGACTCATATTCTTGTGGCAATATTTCTCTTCTAGATTTTACTAATGCCATGTTCAGTGCTCCCACTATATTATTGAAGCAAGGATGCGGCCTCTTTCTGCACTTTACTTCCTGGGAGAGAGACCCAGACTATGCTTGCCTTCAGCTTTGCAGTCCAAAGGAAAAATTTCCACATTTATCTTAATGCTTTGTTTCAGAAAGCCTGCCAGTTTAGGATTACAGTGTAAAAACATCCCTTTCTGTAAGCCTTGATACTTTAGATTCCACAATACAAAGTTAGATTGGCATACAGTATATTTTGATCTTACATTATTACTCCACAATACAACTTTGTTACTAAAAATGGTAATACATCTGACGAAAATGGTGACATTTCATTGATATGTGGGTAGGTAAGAGAGATGGAAAGGGAGGCAATAGGTAGCACCTTCTTTTGATTTAACTTCACGTCCCATTTGTTGGCTATTGTGCCCCATATAATATTTTATTAACTATTTCGTGAAGTCTACAGATTCCTTGGTGGCTTAATTTAAAGGGGTTTTCATTTGACAGACTTCTCAGCCAAAGGCATTATCTTTTCTTTGTAACTACTCAGTTACAAAAGACTACAAATACTGGCTCTCCTTCCTTGCTGAATTTTGTTTATGCTTGAAAGAAGACAAGTATCACCCCACCCCAAAAAGCCTTCCCCCACACCTTCTAGTAAGAGCAGAGGAGTTGTGGGAGAATCAAAGATTTACATTCTTGCCATTTCCCAGCTTCTCAAAAAGAGCACAAGTGCATGAGGAAAAAGGATGGTGAACAGCAGCAGCATCTGGAATTACTGATTCCATTTTGAGTCTGGCTGTGCTTCTTTTAAAGTAGCCTTTTAAAGTTTTTCTTCTTCTTTTAACCAGAGTTCATATACAACATGTTTTTAGCATCCGAGCACATGGTGAAAAATTATTTGAAAAATACCCATTAGAAATGGAATGGTTGTGCTCAGTGTTCACCTTCAGAGCTAGAATAGAATATTTAAAATACAAAAAAAGTCTTTCTTATGAAAGTTTGCAGGTAGACCGATAAGGTGTAATTCAAAACCAAAAATGCTAACTATCACAGATCATGCAATAAGTCAAAGAAAATGTAAAAGAAGGAAGAGAGCAGTTATTTTTAAAGTCCTTCAGTTCTTTGTATTATACCCCTTCACAAGTGCTGTTAAGGAATTTAAAAAATAGAGACGTTAACAAGTAATATGTAATAGTAGTATCTGACATAGATCCCCCCCCCCCAACCTTTCTAGGAAGATTATATTATTCCATTCTTACTAATACATCTCTGTGTGCTGAACACGCTGAATGATTTCAGAGTATCCTATTTGTGTTTCTGACACTGTTCATGAGTTCCATAAATATGCTATCTATATTATTTACTCATTCTAGAGATGATCCCTAACAGCATTTGGCTGTTTTTCCATTGTAAACTTTTCCTACTCATTTACATGGCCCCCTTCCTTAATAATGATAATTTTATTATCATAGTATCCATTCTTTTTCATAAGCCTTTCTCTAATATCATAATACTTTAAGAACCAGTGATATTGCGCTCTGGATCATTTTCTTTTATTGCAACTGTTAGTTTGTTTTTTAAAAAAAAACAGGAACTTTACAAGTATCTGTAAACTCTGGAGGTGCTCTGCAATATGACACTCATTTCTGTTTTGGTTACTAATTTGAAAGTTGTGTCTCCAATTAAATGTGGGTAGTTGAGTCTTGCTGGCATGCTGCCAGTGGAGAGTGCCAATCATGGAAGCTAACTGTTTCAACTGTGAAATGTGTTAAACATAAAGATTTGGATGTTTTTCCTAACATAATCTATCTCGTTTTTGTAGGTTAAAAATGAATTACAGCGGTAGAAAACAATTTCACACTTCACTTGAGAGCTGAGATTAGAATGTTCCAGAGTTTTGAGAATTGAAAACATGCAATTACATTCCTTGTACTCTAAGCACTGTATTTTTTTCTCTTTAGGTATTTGTCTGCTTATGGAAAGGTTGCAAAGTCTACAACACGCCATCAACAAGTCAGAGTTGGTTACAACGACATATGCTTACACACAGTGGTGACAAACCATTTAAGGTAACAGACTTTTTATTACACTTTAGGTAACTTTGTAGTCCCTTTTTAAAACTAAATACTGAATCGGCATGAGTTTGCAATTTGAATAAGGTTGTATTTGCTGTAATCCTTCACACATGCACACAAACAAAATGAACAAGCTTCTCCATTTGGATGTAGTCTATTTCAATTGAAGTTTTCCTTGTTTTGCTTAGTGCGTTGTCGGAGGGTGCAATGCTAGTTTTGCATCTCAGAGTGGGCTTGCTCGACACGTGCCGACACACTTCAGCCAACAGAATTCTTCAAAAGTTACCAATCAGCCAAAGGCAAAAGAAGAATCTCCTTCGAAAGCTGGAATGAACAAAAGAAGGAAGTTAAAGAACAAACGGAGGCGCTCTTTACGTAAGCACATGCAACTTTACTTGTTCTGTGGTTTACTTCATAAAATTTAAAACTGTCTGTTGTGCCTGCTTTCTATTTTTTTAGGCAGTAGCCCCAGCTTTGGGATTATTCTGCAGACTATCTCAGTATTTCAGATAAATTTCATTATCCCTGTTTTGAATTACTCTGCATCACTGTTACGTTTTCCAGACGTATAAACTGGTAGTACTCAATATTCAGGATGTAAGCTTCCCACTCTTATGTGTTTAATACAAGTTTGCAAATATGAAAGCAGTCACACATGAGGTATAGCCTGTGGTGAATAAAAACATGAATGTATTTCTTAAAGTCTGTATTAAGTTTAAAAAATAGAATTGCAGTTACAAATGTTTTATATTCACAGCACATAATTTTTAAAAAGCTAATTCTGTTTTACACTCTGTTTTCCTCACAGCTAAAGTAAATAACTGTCAGATAAGTTTATTGTCTTTTGATGATGAAAGAAGTTTTGCATACAGATAAATCAACATGCTTTCTCTTTTGTCTTACTATAGATACCCTCACAACTGATTGTTTAAGCAGTCACATGGATATTTGCTCTATTACAATGTTAACCATGTTACATAGTTGTAGCTGAAGTCTCAGATCTGCTGTTCCTAATACACTAAACCTAGTTTGTTGGCAGTCACTTACATTTCCATGCATTTCGAAAGTATAAAGCTTCACATTCAGTTTTCTACTTTGATGTCCTCATTGAAAACCAGATGTAGAAACCATTTGCTACAACAAACTATGATTAGTGACAAACTAGTAAAACAATGACAAGTGTGATTATGTGAGTTTGTAGCTTGCGTCTGGTCTTTCAAACCATCATTTGGAGAATTGTTTGAACTAAAAACAAGATATTTGGATAATCCATTCAGCAGAATGTTGGTTGTAATTTGAAAACAACACAGTGGCCTTCTGTATAGTTTTTGCCATAATATTTAATAATATTTTTGATTTCTAACAGCTTATAGCAAACGAGTGTAGTATAAATGAAAATTATTGTACACAGTAGCTGTATCATGATTGAGGTTTCCTATAAGCTTGTAGGTACCCAATCTGGTTTCTGATCTACACTAAAAATAGTCTTGATTCATATTTCTAGTGGGGCATATGCAACTGTTTCCTTCCACATACTAATTGTGGTCAGGACTGTGAAAAGCAGTTCTACCATGTTTCCCTGAAGATAAGACATACCCATAAAATAATCCATAGCAGGATTTCTAAGCATTTGTGCAATATAAGCCATACCCTGAAAATAAAACATAGTTATAGGTGTGGCTATACAGCGTACCTGTGCAGAACGGTGAAGAAGACAGTCAGCCCTCCCCATCTGCCCCATCATGACAGCTGCTATCTTAGAGGTGACCGGAGAGGTGCGGGCAGCCCCATCAACAAGGTTGGCTAGAGGAAGACAGAAAGTGAAAGTAAAAGTCTCAGTGAAGTGAGGAGCAGGACACTCTACTTTAGGCATTGTGGTGTCCTCACAGGAAGAAGACGACAACCATATTTGAATAAATGTAGATTGTTCTACCATGCTTAATAAAAAATAAGATCCCCTGAAAATAAGCCATAGTGTGTTTTCTTGAGGAAAAATAAATATAAGACAGTGTCTTATTTTTGGGGAAACAGTATCTATACAGTAGGCCATGGTATAGTGTTTTTACAACTTTTATGCCCAATACTTTCACTTCCATATTGCTGGAATCTAATTCATATACAATTTAGATCACATTACTGTTGGCAGAATTGTTAACTACACACACACACGTGTGGTTAAGTGTATAGGCCAGAGTAGTGCACAAAATATAGATATGGAATTTACCTAAATTTCCTTTTAAACGAAGGTATTGTTTTTAACTTAAGTATTTTTGAATTAATATATGTGCTTTAGGATTTAATTAATCTGATTTACTGTAATTAGATCACTTTTGTACTACAGATTGAGCAAGAATCCCTTAGCTGAAATTCCGGGAATCCAAAACTACTTACACAAGTGGTTGAAATAGCAGTAGCTTTGTTTTTTACTAATTCGGTGTACACAAACTTTTTTTGTCATGCACAAAATTATTAAACATGTTTTATAAAATGACCTTCAAGCTATGTGAATAAGAAGCAAGCATTAAAATTGTGTTTAGACTTTCCAAGATATCTCATTATGTACAGTATTCAAAATCTGAAAAAAATGCAGAATGCAAAACACGTTCCCAAGCATTTCAGATAAGGGATTTTCAATCTGTAGTGCTAGCTACATAATTATTACCAAATATGACTGAGCAGCTTTTGCAGGGTTTTGGTTTTGTTTTACCCCACTGCAATTGCAACCAACTGATTTACAACTGAAATTGACTTCTGGTTGCCATTTCTGGTTTGGTGGAATAGCAGTGTTCTAAGTAAATCTATCACATTTATTGGCCAGGAAGAATGAATGGCCTTTCCTGAGTGTCTTTTCATAAGAAAAATATTGCCGGGTGTAGGTTTGGGGACTGTACAAAGGGGATTAGGACCACATGCACCCTATGGGCTTCACTTTGGCTTCCCCTGGTTTAATACCAAATGAACACAGATTGTACTGATTGGCATAGATTGCAGCTAAAGAATTTTCAGTCAGAAAAGGATGTTGAATCTACTTCAGCTAAAACTGTAAGTTATAAGACTAGCTATTATGAAAACGACCATCAAATGTTAATTTTACGTTAATTTCTCATTGCTGTGTGTGATATGAGATTTTGTAGAACATATAGTTTATAATTATACTGTTTTGTAAATAATATAAAATTGCAAGAATATCTAACCAACTAAACATCATATTTGGGTATATTTCTTGGTTATCATTTAATTACAAGTTGACCAAGGTTATTTTAGACAATTGCTGCCACACATAAGACAACATTGGTGAGGGAATAGTATGCGATTAATACAGTATTGATAGTTTTAAAATATAAGATAAAAATAGAATGAGACAGGAATCCTGCTAGTGATGTATGTTTAAGTGTGGCACCATTATACATGCTTGAATATGGTGCATTTAGTTGCACAGTGCCACATTTCATTAATGTAGCTTTATGCAAATAACTTGAAGAATTCCATGAACATACCCCAATTTTTGTGTCCTTGATGTTAATCTTGCCCCAATGTGTGTTTTGTTTGTTTTATGCTCATTTTATTATGAAAATTACATTTATCCTGGAGACGAATCATTAGCATTTTCTTTATTTCTTAAACAACTAAATCTGATTGGTATATAATAAGAGAGCTACATAAAGTTGAAATGATCAAGAAATTGCTTCCTCCAAAACCAATATTTTGGTTGAGAAGAGGGATTTTTTAAACTTGACTGTATATTTACAGTTTATGACTTAAAACAATTGCCTTATGAGATTCATTCTAATTGAGAAATATACTGTTTTACAGGCAGCATTTGATATGTGAGCAAATCTCTTCTGCACTGAGGGTTTTGAGTACTGATTTTTAGTAATAATATTTATTATGCCACCATGGTCTAGGTTGTGAGGAAAGCTTTAGTTGACTACCCAAAAGGTGCTGTTATGTAAGGGAAATTGGGCTGTGACTGCTTTCTCACAGTCTACAGATGCCCTATAGATCACAGTAGGGATGGGCAATTATTGTGGGTCCAGGACCTTGTGGCAGTGCAAAAACAATCTATCACCCTGAGGTGGCTGGATATCTGCTTCTGGATTGGAGAAGTTGGCATTATGTGAATTAGTGCTATTTAAATAGTGAATTTCTGCTCCTTGAGGCAAGCAGGCAAAGAACTGCAGGGACTCTGAAAGAGTAGAAAGCTGCAAAAATAGATAATTTTCCTGGTCTTTGGCGAAACCCATATGACTCTACATCAAAATGAGGTGCTCAGTGGATTTAAGGAGTTTGGATGAAACTGGTTTAAATAGAGTTTTAATGTGTGCACTGAAAGAAAAAAAAGGTTTGAGTAAGGCCAATTATAGGTGCAATATTTGAAGCCTTATTTTGGAGTTGAATATTGTTTTTCTTTCTTTTTAGCAAGGCCACATGATTTTTTTGATGCACAAACTCTGGATGCCATACGACATCGAGCCATTTGCTTTAATCTCTCTGCTCACATAGAAAGTTTAGGAAAAGGACACAGTGTTGTATTCCACAGTACTGTAAGTATTATTTCCTATTAATAGTCCTATGTGTTAATATGATGCCCAGCATTCTTAAAGTGGCTCTTCTTTTTGTTACTTGCATAACCTTCTACAGTGTTTATTTTCTGTTTCATGCTTGCATAAGAATAGCAGTAAACGTATTTTGAAAAGAAAATGTGTAGTCTGACATTCCTCCAGGGATTTTGGATCCACTATGCAGCATTACTTTTTCTCTCCGTCCTTTGATCGCAACAATACTTTTTAGGTTGGTTAAGCTAAAATGACATGTAGCACATGGTCATCCATTGGATTTTTGGCTTAGCAAGAATTTGAGACCTGCTTTCCAAGAAACTAATTTGTGATCAAAAGGCTATCCTATGCTGGCTATGGTGAGATTAAAGAATTAGTAGAAATGGGCTACAGCTGTCTTGATTGCCATGACTTTTTAAAAAAGGAGGGGTGCACCCAACTTTGCATAGTTGCATTTTGAGACTCCTGCTTTGGGAATGTGCCACATGTCCTCTGAAAATCAGCCCTGTTTTTATTTTATTTTTTGTTTTCCATATGTGTTTCTTGCTATGTGACAATGGAAGATATGGCCATGTGTATTGACTCTGCTCCGTGTCTTTTTTTCCTGATGGCTCATTTCCACAGGAAAACACACACACACACACACACACATATGTAAGTTGTAGAAATTTATTCCCAGTCTGTAAAACATGAAATAGAAGGAAGAAATCTAATGAGCACATTTCCATTCCCACTCCTTCACAGAGAATGTGTGTTGTGGTTCCTGAATTAGGCAAATTCTTTTTAATGTGTAACTCTTTTCAAATCCACTGCAAACTATTATTTCAAATTACAAATTGGAGGTTTGTGTTAACCTCAATCTACTATGACCTAGTCCTTTCTTTGCTTGCTATATGTAGTAAACAAAAAGCTTTAGTTGACTGGTATTAGGAAAGAAGTATGGAAATATGAAAAGAAACAAGTTAGCCTTCAGCATGTTGTCAAAGTATTGTTTAGATGAGGATTTGTAAGCAGATGTCAAAATAATTGTGAATGGTAAGTTGCAAACAAGCTTACAACAGATCCCTCTAGCATCTTAAAAACTGAGAAAGTATATTGACGATGCGGTACAATACAGTTGAAGAAAAATAGTTATGTCATGAATACTAGCATTATTTAATGATAGTACATTATTAATTGGTCTAGTCTAAATCATTTTTGTTATGGATTGGCCAGCATTTTTAAAGCCCTTTTTTTGGAATCCTCATTGTGAGTTATTTCTCCTGGACTCCAGTAGAGGTCAGCAGAACCTTATTTGTATGTGTTCTTTGTACCTGTTGAGGTTGATTCCTTTTTCTTCCTCCTCCCCTCCTCAACATTTTTTTTTAATTTTTAAGTATTTCATAAGGCGAAAAGACATGAAGATTAAATCTCTGAAACATAATCACATGAAAATTGTAATCAGACTTGGAGAAGGCTACATATGTGTTCTTAATTTGTCTAAGTTGTATAATTTATCATACTTCTCAAGTTTGGGTTTGCAGAATGGAGAGAACACAATGCAGTGCTCTGTAGCAGTGATGCTTGTGAAGGCTTTCAGCCAAGCCGTCTCTCCTGGAGACTATCAAGAAGAGAAGTTCCCACAGCAGTATTGGAGATAACAACAGGAATCCCTGCCGTATCTCATTTTTATCTGGACAGTGAGTGGTTTGCAAAGCCAGTTGCACAGTCAGCCAAAGCCTGCATGAGCCAGTGTTGGCTGGTAGCTTCCATGTCACTAGGATGTTGACTCTGTCCCAGTTGGAGTCTGAACTTTCACTAATGCAAGGCACTGAACCTGTCTTCTAAATAGGTACAGCACCTTAGATAATCCCTTATAGTAATTTGGCTAAAGCTGAGAAGATTAGCAACCTTATTGGCAATGAAGCCAAGAGCATCCATTGCCAGGACAACTATAGTCAGTGCTCAGTAAGTTCTTGGAAGCACCAGCTGAGATCACTTTGTTCTTGTTTTCTCTTTCTTGGAGAAAAAAGAATGAGAAAGTAATCGAGATTTCTGGCTGAAGTGTCTTCTGGAAAAGATCCAGTCAGCATTTTGGGCAGGGATGCATTGAAGAAGGTCTGGTGATTTGAACAGAGCAATGACTAAGATATCTTTTATGTTTGAGGGAAATGGTCATCACTGAATATGAAGAAAATCTCTCTGGCAAACCCAGGTCTAAGTGTCAAGTTAGCTCTGTACCTTGTTCATTGTTTCAAGGTCAGGCTGTTGAGTGAAGAAAATATTTAGAAATGTTTCAAGTAATTGCACTAATTGTTATTCTTAGGTAATGGCAAAGAGAAAAGAAGATTCTGGAAAGATAAAGCTACTGCTTCACTGGACACCAGAGGACATGTAAGTTTCTCATATTTTAGAAAGTGGGGTATAAATCGAATAACTAAATAAAAAAACAGATTCAGAAAAATGTCATTTGGGATGCTTATTGTGTTTAATACCAGCTCACAAAGAACTGGAAAGTTAAACAAGTGGTATTCAGTTCTTTAACCTTGCTACTACTTCTTTTGACAGAATTGCCAAACTGGAAAGCCACATAAAATATGTTGAAACATTATTTAAGCGTTATGATTATAGTCATTGTAATGTTTATTGTAATGCAGTTTTGGATGCTCTGTGAGATGGGCTTTGCACAGTTTCAGCCCCCCATGGAGTTTTGTGGACCTTTGCCACAGGATATCTCTGTGTAACAAGTTCTTCCAATGTGCTTTCCCTAGGTAATTTATTAGAGAACAAAATATTGGACTAAGGAAGCCTTTGATGTGCTCCAGAATGGCTCTTACAATCCTCTTGCACCATTTGTTTGTGACAAAGTATAGGAATAGAAGCCCACTCATTCATCTTTGACTTGTGGTTGATTTTGTTATTTATAATGAAGGGGTAACTTCATGCATTGAAATCGCATTAGGTTGGAATAAAATATTTTTGTTCAACAAGAGGACAAGCAAAACAAAGGCTAGCTTAATGTTGGGAGACATTTGTGATGGATCCAAATACATTTGGAAATACATATGTTGCAGACGGGGAATCCCAGGATGTGAAGGAGGCAGAGAGGAGAAAAATCTACCATCTGGGTGTGTTTCCATTTTGTGTGACATTGGAATTCAGCTTCTCTTCTGACAAGTTTAAATAGCAGTACAGCATAATGGATTTAAAAACTTACAGGATCGTAATTCTGTTAGCCTATTGCGATTGTTGGCTTCAAAAAGGATGAATAAATTCCCTTCTCTGATCTTTTGACTAATTTCTCATGGCCCATATCCCGGAGGATATTCCCTTTTGCCAGGAATATCACAGATAAAGCCAGCATACCGTGCTATATTAGACCCTGAGAACAATAAAAGTATCATTACAAGCTTCATTAATTCATTGTCCAAACCCATATTTCTAACCTTGATGTCTAAGCCAATAAAGCACAGCTGTTAGTATTCAAGACTAGACGTGTAGATTCTAACCAGTCAGATGTGAAGGATTGTATTTTTAAAAGGCATTCAGTGAAATTATTTTTGCCATGTGATTATGGTGAGAAAATGGAGTTGCTCACTTTTAAATATTTTATTTTATTTATAGTCTTCCTGATGTATGGATAAATGAAAGTGAGCGACATCAGTTAAAAACGAAAATAGTTCATTTGTCAAAACTACCAAAAGATACTGCCTTGCTTCTGGACCCAAACATATACAGGTAACTTCCCAGTATTTCAACTTTCCCTTCTCTCTATGTGATCTTAAGCCTAATTTAACTTTTCAAAGCTGATACTAAGCTAAATAATATACTCAGCATATTTGGATTCCCTAAATCAGTTGGCCTACAACTACCAGAAATCCCAGCCAGTTAACCAGTTAGGATTTCTGGTAGTTTAAGGCCAAAACAATCGGGGGCCCACAGGTTGAGAACCACTGCCCTAAATGTTTCCTTTAGTTTCACTTATATTTGTTTGCCAGAAGTTAGGGATAGTAATATTGATATCCCAGTACATGATCTTCCAGTGGATAGCATCCAGAAGTTAAGCTTTGAGGCCTGAGATTATTGAGCAGTTCTTGAACTGAACTCTGGTGGTTTGAAAAACAGGGAATGCCTGTATTTACCGAGTGTATTTTACTTTTTTGTGCTTGGTATACAGAAAGTCTAGTAATGGAGGTACATACAGAGGAATCCTGAAAGATCACTTCTGTTAAGATCACAAGCTGGTTTGTATACCAATTTTTGTATACAAGTTTTTTAAAGTCCAAATATATATATTTTTACTCATTAGCTTGTAATACATGTAGTATTAAAATCTACATTCAGATATTTAAAATTGAAAACCTTTTTCTTTCTACTTTTGGGAAGGGGACCAAATCTCACATAGTTCATTTCAACATCAGATATTGTTTGGAAAATGATGAGAGAAGTCATTCTCAAAAATTGATTTCTTTCCTTTTTATTAATGCTCTAGGTGTTTATAATTGTACTATAACATTTTTCCTAAGGTAATCTGAAAAGCAGGGATAGGAAAGACCTTGGTCTGAAATCTTGTAAAGTGGCTGTAAGTTGAAAGAGCTCAATGACCAGTGAACTGTCAGTGTAGGTGGACCTACATACATATGTCTATATGTCAGTTATGTACATAAGTGATCAAGACATGACAGTGAACACTGGAGTGAGGTTTTGATGATGGATCATAGAATTATAGAAGAGATCTCATGGGCCATCCAGTCCAATCCCCTGCCAAGAAGCAGGAAAATGATGAAGCCTTTCAGATTACCTTTTATTTTCCGCATTTGTATTAATCCACTTAATTTTTTCCCTTTGAAAATGTGTGCTCTGCACTAATGCCATTTAACAGAAATAACACAAATGATTGTAGTTATTAATCACAAAGCAAATTTGTCTTGTCATATACTTTATCTAGTATTGTGTTCAAGAAATTGTACACAGGTTTAGACTGCAAACCTAATCAAGCTTATTGGAAATAATTTCTACTGAAATCCATGATTATTCCCCAGACCACTGCCTACAACTATATATTCATATGTACGTATGCGCGCACACACACATGCACACACCCTTACCTACTTACCTACTCATGGGGGCTTTTCAAGCCTCCCATTTTTTCTTAAGTTTCCCGAGAGATTAGTGGAAGCTCTGGGACAGTTCTTTCTGAAATGTAAGTGCGACAGGATGGAAGATCATCCATCTCACCATGCACAGAGCTGTCAGGAATCTTCTTGTTTCTTTCTTACGGCAACCTTAATGCAAACTTATCATGGTTTTCCTAGCAAGCTATATTAAGAGAGGGCTTGTCGTTGCCTTTTTCTGAGGCTGAGTGCGGCTTGCTCAACATTACCCAATAGTTTTCCATGGCTGACTGGTTATTCAGACAATGGATCTCCAGCATCATAGTTCAACACACACTGACTCTCTTCTCATTAACCTATCTTTGTGCTTACTGTGGCACTTGCACTTCTTCACACTTGTTGCAAACGCTTGGCTATATAACTGGAACTATTACATTGGAACAGAATAGAAATAAAATTCCTTGGAACAATCCAAGGAATTCTGTGCTGGTCACAGCTAATTAGCATAGGATGACTGAGTAGCAAAATCCAGATGCACAGTTTAGGTTTCGAATGCGAAACTGAAGTGTGAATATTTCAAAGGAGTCAGATCCAATTGCAGTATCCTAATGAGACACATCTGTTTCCTAATAATGGAAGTATTGAGTCAAAAATGCACACCTCTGACCGTACATACCTTTTTACCAAATGTGTATTGATTTTCAGATCCAGGTTTGCTTTCAGAGAGAGCACGGTCACATTTCCAAATAACAAAAGCATTTCTGTATCATTCGGACTGATTCCCAACATAGCAAAAAACATAATTGGTGAACTTTTTAACCACTGTATGTTGAATTTCTTTGGATTTTCCTCCACCAATGCAATATTTCCTTTTCCTTCCTAGAACAATGCCACAGAAGAGGTTGAAGAGGTAGAATCAACAGGGGGCACCTCATCTTACCATCTTATTCATTGACCATGGAATTAGAATTGAAATTGCACATTAGACAAATCCTTCCATCCATCCTCTGCTCTCGCCCCATGGCTGCCAACTTTAGGAGATGATTATGCTTGGCATAATTTTCTGAGAATGAAGTTGACACATCCGTGGAATATATTTTATATAATATTGACATACTTTCATGGAATGGTACAATGGAAGATGGGGCAAGCGCTCTTCCAGCAATATAATGGGTGCTCTCAAAGGCTTTGCATGCTTACTGCTTTTTATTTTAATACTTTTCTATAGCTTGTATGGATGGAAGTTGCCACGTACGGCCCTCCCTGCAGATTTTTTTAAAGCAAGTTTATTGCGATCTTGTCATTGGTAAAACAGTTAGCACACATGGACATACACTAGAGAGAATCCTTTTTTCTAAAGAGTATGGTGAAGAGTATCAATTGTCACTTTTGTGAATTTGTGGTGTTCTATCACATATCCCTAAGTGGTGGTATCATGTTTAAGCAAAATGGTGGTGGCATATTTGCAGTTCTAGTGAAATATATATTCAAGAGAGGGTGATTAAATGTTGTGTTGCTGTATATCCGGACCTCTCCATAAGGCTATTACTGTATGTTAGTAAGACTTACTTTAATAATCTCTTCAGAAAAAATAAAAATAAAAGGTAAGAACATTTTTGTTTACTACTGGGCCTTTAAAACTCCTGTTTGTTTCTAAAGAATCTCCCATCTCCTTTCCCCCTCCCCTTGGCCTAAATTTTATGAGCTGTCAAAATTGTATTTTTTAAAAAGAAGCATCTAAAAATACAATCGTTTATGCACCAAAGTTGGGTATGAAAAGATTTAAATTTCTTCCTTGCTTTACTAAGTAAAAAAAAATTATGGATTTTCTTAACCTACAGGAATAGAAAAAAAATGTGTGTACCTTGTTCGTCTTGTAAGGAGACAAAAAAGTTGCATATAGATGGAACATTGCTTGTAAATAATTTCGCAGATTTGTAATATATTTTTATATTGAGAAATGTAGATGTTTTTCTAGAGGCATGGAAGTTGAAATGTATATATTATGGTAGAAATAATATTGAAGGATATTGTAATTCATTAGTGCTGCCAGAAGAATCTGTTTAAAAGCAAGCACCTTTTTTAACAATACGAGAAGTCTTTTGGATTTCTAAGAGGCTATATACTACTGTTGTAAGAACAAAACACACGAAACATCCTTCCAGAAGTCTTTGAAGTATGCTCAGTATCCATAAGAGGTTTATGGCACTCATGGCTGATAATGGATATGTATCAGTTTTTTCCTCACTTGTTGGAAGGAACAAATGTAAAAATGAATAAATGGTGGCTATATGCAGTCAAACTGCATGATTAACCCTCCCTGTTTAGGAGGATTTTTTTGCATTACTACAGTGAATATAAATACCAGCTGTTTTTACACTATTTTTTTTATAAAATAGCAAAAAATTAAATATGAACTCTCTGGTTGGAGATGTTATCTTTTTCCAAAGCCATAAAAAAGGTCTACATTAATGAAGATGAGATGCTTTCTTGGCTCCCAACGAGTGTAGAATGTTCTATAAACATTTAAATTCCATATGTATGTGCATCTTATAAGCACTGCTCACATGGAATAGGTCTGGAATAAACACTGAACAATGGTATTTCATAAAGATCTGTAGCAATGTAACTATTTAAAACAAATGCAGTTCGTTTTTTTGTTTTGTTTTTAATTTTGCTTGAGCACTTCAGTTACTGCTTAATCTTTATCTTATATGGTCATCTGCAATTGCTTTGGTTCTTTTAAAAATATATATATAATTGCCAAATAGGTGTTTTCAGATATAGTTTGTATTTGTATTTTTTTAATTTTATTGCTTTCTTGAGTTTCTTCTATGCCATGCATAATTGACAGATGATTGTAGTCCTTGCCTAAGTATTTTTTCTAATAAAACCATGCAAATACAACCACTTTTAAAGCTTCCCATTGTTTTTTGTTGTAACAATTTGTAAGAATTTAGAGGCCTGTATACAAGTGGTTTCTCTTTGGGAACTGTTAAAATTAATGTTAGTCAACAGTGTGCTTCTAGTGATATAGGCTGCAATCCTATGCGATAATCAAGGAGATTATATATGATTATTTCTAAATGTTCCAGTAAACTGAATGTAGAGGTCATATCCTTCTTGCATCTTCTCAAGCTGTATTTGCCTTTTAAAGCTCAGAAACTACATTAACATTGTTATCACCTCTGTCTTTGTAGGTGTGAGTAACCTTTTTCAGACAAATGAAATGAAAGTCTATCCCCAGAGCCTACTGCTGTAATGAAATCTAGTCAAAGGATTCAAGAAAGAACTTGGCTTTACTGTGCTGTAAGGCAGTTTCCACTCCCTTTGAAAGATCACAGGTTGTATCTGACGTCCTTGAGTGTGAACACTCCTGAATTTTCTGAACATTTCATTTAATCCATTATATCATCAATCAAGGCCCCCGTGGTGGTGCAGCGGATTAAACCGCTGAGTTGCTGGACTTGCAGACTGAAAGATTGGCAGTTTGAGCCCAGGGAGCGGGGGTGAGCTCCCGCTTTTAGACCCAGCTTCTGCCAACCTAGCAGTTCGAAAACATGCAAATATGAGTAGATCAATAGATACAGCTTCTGCAGGAACGCAGCGGTGGTCCATGCAGTCATGCTATCCACATGACCTTGGAGGTGTCTATGGACAATGCCGGCTCTTCAGGTTAGAAATTGAAATGAGACCACCCTCCAGCGTCAGACACAACTATACTTAACATCAGGGGGAACGTTTTTATGATCAATCATATGCAGTCCTAAGTTACTGAATGCAGTACTGCCTTCTCCTGGATAAATAATTATAGGGTTCCTACTCAATCCTCTCTCAGAATTTTCCTAATGTTTGGTGTGCTAGAATTTTGACAAATATTTCCTTCCAAATGCTTGCTGTTAGCAGATTTCCTCCAAGTACTAATGGTGATAAAACAAGCTGCTGTATATTGTGGATCTGTGATGAGGGAGGGAATGGGATGACCTGAAGGCTGCCACTGCCCCTTGGCTCCCTTATGCCTTATTTTTAAAAATAAACCTTACACCAACACATTCTTTGGCCAAAAATAGCTTTTAGGGCCCATAAATTCTTTTTTACAACCAAAAATAAATACACACCTTTGTCTCTCACCTTTGAAATCATACCATAAAGTAATAGGAAGTAACTTCTGGTCACTAGAAACATCATTCCTGTTCGTTGCCATCTGTGCTGATGCAAGGTCACCAAGGTGCCAAGAATAGCCTTCTCTGGATGACCCATGTGCCCACCGCTGCTTTACAGTATTGGTACATATTATTTTTTCTTCAATAAGGAATACTACTAAGATCACTGTAAAACAGAATTGTGGAGTGAACTACCCTTTTAAAGAATCATATATATCCCTGTGGTCTATTAAGAACTTATAGATGAAGAGTGCTTGTGAGAGGTAGCTCTTAATTACAAGTGTAATTTACTATGAATATGGATATATAAAAGAAATCCAGGAGGGATTTGTGATATTTTTCTTCTTGCCTTGATAATGTGTCATCTAGCACCAGGCTTTAACACAGGCTTAGTGCTATCCAAATGTTGGGAACTACAGTTCTCATAAGCCTAGGATGGTCCATGGTCAAGTATATTGGATTTATTATATTATACTAGTAAGGTAATGTGTCCATACTGGGCAATGAACTGTTATCAAAAGTCAATTTCCTGGGTACAATATTACAGAGCCATCAGTAGTAGTTTTGGTAATGGGTAGTTGTGTAAAACCCTGTGTAAGAAGAAAGTGCAAAAGCTGGGTTGCAGTTAAACATAAAAAACCAAGATTATGGTAACCAGACTGATTCATAACTGGCAAATAGAGGGAGAAAACATGGAGGCAGTGACAGACTTTGTATTTCTAGGTGTGAAGATTATTGCAGATGCAGACTGCAGCCAGGAAATCAGAAGACGTTTACTTGGGAGGAGAGCAATGACCAATCTCTATAAAATAGAGAAGAGTAATACATCACACTGGCAACTAAGGCCTGCATAGTTAAAGCAATGGTATTTCGCATAGTAACCTATGGATGTGAGAGCTGGACCACAAGGAAGGCAGAGTGAAGGAAGATAAGATACTTTTGAGTTGTAGTGTTGGAGGAAAATTCTGAGAGTGCCTTGGACCGCAAGAAGATCAAACCAGTCCATACTTCAGGAAATAATGCCAGACTGCTCATTGGCAGGAAGGATATTAGAGGCAAAGATGAAGTACTTTGGCCACATGATGAGAAGACAGGAAAGCTTGGAAAAGATAATGATGCTGTGGAAAATGGAAGGAAAAAGGAAGAGGGGCCAACCAAGGGCAAGATGGATGGATGGTATCCTTGAAGTGACTGGCTTGACCTTGAAGGAGCTGGGACTGGTGAAGGAAGAGGGGCCGACCAAGGGTAAGATGGATGGATATTATTTTTGAAGTGACTAGCTTGACCTTGAAGGAGCTGGGGGTGGCTATGGTTGACGGGGAGCTCTGGCGTGGACTGGTCCATGAGGTCACAAAGAGTTGGAAGTGACTGAACGAATAAACAATAAAAGCTGTGTTACAATATTAAACATCACCAATCTTGTATGTCAGAGCTTGAAATACTGGATGTAACAACTGAATTTATAGGAAGGAAGAAACGATGAAAGTGAACAAAATCTGGCTACCTGTATTAAAAAAAAGTCTAAAATAACATTAAATAAAGAACAAAACTCAAATACAGGGGAACTCCAGAGAAGAAACAATCGAGAACAGCTAATCACCTCTCAACAAAGAATTCCCCAGGCAGTAACAGGGTACACCTAAAAACTGTCAGGCCATCAAATCAAGGTGGCCAATTGAAACATTCACATCTAGCTCCAACAGACAAGAGTTCTTTCTCCCACTCTGGACTTTCCACAGATATGTAAACCCAATTTTCCTAGTTTCCAACAGACCTTACAACCTCAGAGGATGCCTGCCATAGATGCAGGTGAAACGTCAGGACAGAATGCTTCCAGACCATGGCCATTTAGCCCGAAAAACCTACAACAACCCAATTGAATTTTGTTTTCAACCCAAAGTAGAATACAGTTGTTGCATTATCCCCAAAATATAGCTAGAAAGCCTCATTGTCCACTTCTTTAAACACAGAAACCATTGCATTTTAATGCTATAATTGCAGCAGATTTACCCAAAATAATTAAAAATAGATTCTCTAGGACTTTAAAGAGTTTCACAGTGATGAACAAGTAGTACAGATAAAATCCAAAAAGGGGGCCTCATGTTGTCCCTACAAACAGTGCCACAAGAGGGTGCAATTGACCTTTGCTAGGCTTTGCCATAAATACAGAAGATATTGCAGCCTCAGCAGGAGGACCCAAGGCTTGTCTTTGTGGGTCCATAGGTCTCTGCTTCGCATACCCTGGCCCTAGCCCTTAATTAGAACAAAGCAAAGGCCTTGGTTAGGAATGTCATTTAAGGGAGGCTTAATTTAAGAAAGTGATGGGAGGTTTGAAGTCAAGGATGTCTGGTGCCCTGATGCAAAAGCAGGCTGCCAACTCAAGCAATTTGCCACAGCTGCCAGATTGTAGATAGACTATTCTGGCTCTTGCTTTTGCAACTGCAGAGCTCATTTGTGTCCATACAGGATAACTCTCTCCCTTCTCCCCAGAATTTCTACTTCTGTGGCTCTCATATTGCCACAAAATGAGAATTTTGAAATTTGGAAGCTTGCTTTTAAAAGTAATGAGTTTATATTACAGTTCCAGTTACTGTTGCCCTAAACCTTTTTTTTTAAAGTAATGCTTTATTTTCCCACTGTTAGAGCCCAGTGAAACTGCCAAATCCAAGAACTGTTGGAATGTACTTCCAATTACCCTGGCCCAGTTACATACCCTAACATTGGGGCTATGCCTCTGAGTTGGAGGAGCTTTGGAACTGGCATCACACCCAACTACTTTTTTGGGGCGCTTCTGCTAGCAGATTGCTCTGCCTGCAGATTGCGATTCACATAAATCTCTTGCATTCAGCATATTTTGAGTTAGGATATCACTTGTATGTCATATTTAGAAAAGAGGCAAGCATAGGGAAACTGATCCAGCTTCCACACACTTTTCATCTGTTCCTCCTGCACCAAGCAGTTGCCCTCTACATCTGTGCTTTCTTTAAAGGCTTTGATAAATGAATTTATGGTGAAACAACACTGTAGAATCAATGCAGTTTAACATCACATTAACTCCATGGTGTGTTGTTGTGGAATCCTAGGAATTGCAGTTTTAAAAGATCTTTAGCCTTCTCTACTGAAATGTGCTGATGCCTCACCAAGCTACAAATCCCAGGATTCCACAGCATTGAGCCATGACAGTTAATATGGTACCAATCTGCATTACATCTGCAGTGTAGATGCACCCCTAGATGCTTTTGCTGTACTGTACATCCGAGCTGTTCCTCATGAATACTTAAAAAGGCCAACCTCTGGAAAATCCAAGCATCTGAGAAGGAAAAAAAGTTTCTTCTAAGGAATGACCCTTCCTTTGAGCGTCCTTCTGCCTAATGGTAGGAAGACATGCAATTGATGGTCCACTTAACTCTGCTACTGTCTTCCAAATGAACCAAGACCCTTGGCAGAGTTACTACAGTTTAATCTGACAGTCACCTTCAAAGTGATGAATCCTTTGTTTCTGCTTCTCTGAGGAGGAAGCTCTCAGCTTTTCAGTTTGGGTGGATTGATTATGCCCTAAAATGGAGGAACAGTGAGAATGAAAAGGAACAGACTGTGCTCCTGAATTAAGGCCTCTATACACAAACATGTATTATAGTGCAGGAAGAATTCAAGGAAGTAAATTTCTTCCACTATTGCAGGCTGCTTTTGCTCCCTCTACATCTCTTGGGATCTAAAGCACAGAAGTATGTCAAGTTTAACTTGTATAG